CTTGTCCACATTCTTTACAAACATAAGGCTTCTCCCCTGAGTGTGTCCTCTTGTGTCTAATGAAATGTGATAACTGGGAAAAGCCTTGCCCACACTCTTTGCAAACATAAGGCTTTTCCCCTGAGTGTGTCCTCTGGTGTATGATGAGATTTGATGACTGAGTAAAGCCTTGCCCACAAACCTTGCAAACATAAGGTCTCTCCTCTGAGTGTATTCGCTGGTGTTTTATAAGATTTGATTTCTTAACAAAACTTCGCGTACACTCCTTGCAAACATAAGGCTTCTCTACTGAGTGTGTTCTCTGGTATGTAATGAGATTTGGTAACTGGGTAAAGTCTTGCTGATATGCATTTAAAAGGAAAGGTGTCTCCTGGAACAGGGCCCTCTGGTTTGCAGTGACGTCTAACTTCGTGCCACGGTCTGGGACTTCCTTAGTATACCTAACAGATCCAAATCCAGAGGTTTCTAATTCCTCCCACCTTGGCTCTATTTTCACAGAGTTCAACCTCTGGGTTGAGTTGGGCTCTAGCTCTACGACTTTGCCTTCTCTGAGGTCTGCTGACTCTCTCTGGGGTGGGCTGGCAATGCCATAGGCATCCAATGCACATTCCCACGAAGGTTCTGTCTTCCAAGCCCTTCCACACAAGGTGTTGGAGATTTCTCTCTCCTGATCTTGTGTGCGTTCACTCCAGCAGGTCTCCTGAGAGTCCTGTTGCTCTTGCTGAATCTGAAGTCCTGGGCTGCACCCTGCCGGGTGGACGTGATGTATTCCATACAACTCCGGGAAGATCTGTAGCACATGTTGGCTGAGGAACTGCTGACAGCAGAAAACTAGAAGGCAAGACGAACAGGAGTAGACTTTTGGCTTTGTTTCTGCTGAAGAGAGAAAGTTTCCATTAGAGCAGCTGTAACTGGAATTGTCGGACTGTCTGTCTGCTCTTATACAGACAGCCTCTCATCAGAAAGTGGTCCCTGAGGGGCACAGGTAAATTATTTACTAGTAGCCAAATGGTTGAAGGTTTATGACATAAACCTGATAAACTACTTTTAAAAAGTCAAAACACTCATTACCATATAGTACAGTTCTACTCTGCATATATGGGGTCCCCATGTCATTTTCAACCTTATTGCAAGTAAAACAATCTTACTGCCTCACATGGTACAATTTACACAGCACAAGTTGTTTCCAATTGATTTACAGCCCTATTTTACAAGTTACAGTTTGCTTTGCAATCTAGAGTAGTCCTGGTAGAACGGCCTTTCAAGTGTTTGGCTCCCAACAAAAAGGTTGGTGGTGTGAATCAACCTACCACTAGGAAAATGATGCCATAAAGATTTACAGTCTTCCAATCCCAATTGGGTAGTTACAATGTCCTACTATGAGTAGAAAAAACTCAACAGTAGTAAAACTGGGTATTATAATCCAGATGCTTGGCTCCACAGTAAACACTCTTGGCACTAGCAGCCAGGAAATTAAAAGATGTATTGCAATGGGAAAGTCTGCTATTAGGGACCTCTCCAAAGTACTGAAGAGCAATGGTGTCTCTCTGGAGACTAAGGTGTGTCTGATACAGGCGATGGTCTTTGCAATCACTTGTTATGAATCAGAGAGTTGGACAATGACTAGGGAAAACAGAAGGAGAATTGATGCTTTGAGCTGTGGTGCTGAAGAAGAGTATTGAATGTACCACGGACTGCTAAGAAAACAAACAGGTTAGTCCTAGAAAGGGTTAAATCAGGCTGCTCCTTGGAGGCAAGGATTCTGAGGCTTTGTCTGACATACTTTGGACATGTTGCAAGGAGAGACCAGTTCTTGGAGAGGGACATCATGCTTGGGAGGGTGGAGGGACAGTGCAGGAGGGGAAGACCCTCTATGAGGTGGAATGATTCAGTGACTGGGGTAATTGGGGTGGGTGTGTTGGAGACAGTGAGATTGGCACAGGACAGAGCAGAGTTTAGGGCTGCTGTACATAGGGTCGCTATGAGTCGCAAGCGACTCGACGGCACATAACAACAACAATGCACACCGAGTCTCTTTTGCATTTCAGCCAGAAAAGGACTTTGCAAGCAAGTCTCAGACACTGTTTCCACCTCATGAAGAGTATCTTGAAAACAGTACACTGAGAGACTACACGAAATATTTAGCGACTGCAAGGAAACACTACGTTAATGATGTCTATGAAAATAAGCGCTGTGATTTCTCTAATTATAAAAATGGATTGACTCAGAGGTGCATGGTTCGAATCCACCAGATGCTCAGCTGGAGAAGGAGGAACAATCTCCTCCTGTACCAGTCAGATCTCATTTGACGGGACACACAAAAAATAATGAAATAAAATTTAAAAAAAAAAAACGGATTGAGAGACATGAAGTCACTCAATTTGGCAGACATACAAATGTAGGAGACAGTGTTTAAGTTTGAAAATCTTACAATTAACAGCATTTCAACTTATCCAGCTTCAGTGGGATACTGGTCAAGATCAGCCGAAAACGGATTCCCCTGAAATGAAGGTCTAGGAGACCACCACGCTCCCTCATATTTGACATCTTTGACACCATCCATCATTCCCATGGCACCTCCAACTCTCTTCTACATTAGATAAGTCTTTGCAAAGTGCACAGAGTATTCACAGTTAAGTGATGTATTGGAAAGAAAATGAGTACCATTGAGGTCTGGATGCACAGACCACAACCAAGAATCACAACTGAGAAAGCATGTCAACAAAGTCTCCCCACTTCAGTGTGTGGTGGCTCTCTCAGCTCCTCTGGATTGGGTAAACTGAGCCTTTGGGGGGAGAGACGCTACTAGCCACCAATATTTCTGTTAAATTTCAGCACAAGATGTGTGTCATACAATAGGAACTTTGGAACATAGGAAAAGCAATCACTAGAGCCATCTGTGTCTCCTAGAAACACTGTATCACAGAGTACAACTGTCCTAGAAGAACTGCAAGGCTGCAGAATTATTCACCATCGCAAGAACATGGAAACAGCCCACATGGCAACCACAAAAGAATGGAATGAGAAATTATGGTGCATTCACACAATGGAATACTATGCAGCATGCAGGAGCAATAACTTTGTAAAATATTACCTAACTTGGGAGGGACTGGAGAGCATTATGTTGAGTGGACTCAGTCTCACAAGGATAAATATTGTATAAAACTGTTATTATAGAATAAGGATCCAGGAAGGGTGGGAGAGGCTAAAAGCAGAGGGATGTGGATGTACAGGGCGAAGAGGGGATTAATCATTGGGTTGTACAATTTGATGGGTGGAGGAGGTAAAGGAAATTGGAAGAATTTGCTTGAATTTGTATTAGAATTTTGTAAATAAACTAGTGAAAAAAGTCAGCTTCTTGGGAAGGGGAAAGGAAGGAGAGGGGGTCAAATGTGCAACTATGAATGAATGAAAATCTAACTTTTCTGTAAACTTTTGTTAAAATGACAATTAAAATTTTTTTAAAAATTAAAATGACTTAAAATTTAAATACATTATTAAAATAAAAAAGGAATTGCAAGGCTGCAAATCTTTATAGAGGCAACTTCTTTCTACCATGGACTGGCTGATGGATCAAAAAGGCCATATTTTTGCTAAACACCAAGTGTATGATCAGTAGGCCCCCAGGACTCCTCTACACATACTGAGACACCAAAACATCAAGTGAATTTATGAAGGAAAAGAGAGGAACATGTATTTACCCACAGAGAGAAGATTTCTATACATTTCCAGCATTACTTCTTTGTACAAATTCTTCTGCTCAGAGCTCAGTGTCTTCCACTCTGCCTCTGTGAAGTCCACGCTGACATCCTCAAATGTAATAGGCTCCTAGAATAAGGCAGACATAGGTAAATTACAGTTCACTATTTTCACAATAAGCAGAATTTAACTTGTCCTGAAGAGTCTGCCATCTGAGAAGGTTCAATCGCTCCTTTTCAGAGAACAGAGTTCTCAACAGCAAGGTCTTCCGTATATTATATGTAGTTTTGTGATAAAGTCTTACAACAGCAGCTAATGATCAAACACTGGTGGTCCTCCCACGCATGTGAGTTCATGAGAGAAATTATTTGAGACCATGTGACTCTAGGCATGCTTTGAAAAGATTTGCCCAAATAATTATCAGAAATTAGGTAGAGCTCTGGTGGCCAAACAGTCAGCAATTCCACTGCCAAACCAAAAGCCGCTGATTTAAATCCACCAACCATTTCCTGATGGAAAGATGGGCAATTTGTTCCTAGTGATTTACAGCCTCTGAACACCCACTGGAGGGCCAGCTATCAGTCTGTTCAAACCTGATGGCACACAATAACATGATTTTTCACTAGTTTTGCAATTAACCTCCATGAGATCTTCCATTTACAAGATGTTGTTAGCATAATCTAATCATGGCCATAATGAGTTTCAATTACTGCAGATGAGCCTTGACTTGGCCTATTGTTCTAAAAATTTCACCATACTGTTTATAAATTGAACTTAGGAAAAGAAAAATACAATGACTATCAACATGGATATAATGAATTCTAATGTGCAAAACTATTCTGTAGAAACTGAGGAGGCTCAGATTGTTGTTCCTAGAATTGCACAGAATTAATGTTGACTAGAAAGGCTAAGAAAATGAAAAAAGACTCTATCTAAAATATTAAATCTAAAAATATTGCTCATGTTCAATATTCTATTTTTTAGAAATAAATTTTCTGTAATATTCCTATTTCATAAAGTAACAGTTACTTCAATCAAAAAATAATAAAATTCTAGAGCTTCAGTGGCCTTATCTGGAGTGACCAGCGCGGCTATCTCTTATCACAACAGCCTTGTATTACCATCAGTTTGAACCCTCAAGCCTCTCACAGGAAGAAAGATGATAAGTCTCCCCATTCAACAATTTGGAAACTTAAAAGGAAACTGGAGTCTGTCAAACAAAATTGAAGAGCTGTATCCACTGGACACAAAAAGGTGGACTTCCTGTTGTACATATAAACAGGATGGGAACTGAATAGCACAGGGTCGGATTTGTGCACATTTGAATGAGAGAGATGGGAGCCTGAGGAAAGGTAGCCTTGAGGGCTGGGTCAGCGCATGCTGGGAGTGCGGATGTTGCCTGCAGCATAACCTGCCACCTATCCCTTTGCAACAGCTCCACTGTTTCTCAAAAGCAACCAGAGTCCCATGCCCTGACTAGGCGGGCTATAAAAACTCAGAAGCACCCTGGACCCGACCAGCAACAACGGCAGCCACGGTAAAAGTTGCAAGAAATTGTGTTGAGCATAAGGCACTCTGACCCCTTCCATGTGTTTCCTCTGATGACGCAGGTTCTTCTACACATTTAAGAGAAAATAATAAATGTTACTTCCTCTAAACCATACACACACCCGTACACGATGGGTCTCTGAAAGACAGACAGACACACACACACACACACACACACACACTGCCTCTCTCTCTCTCTCTCTCAAATAATAGTTATTTCCCCTAAACCATATACACACACGATCTGTCTCGGAAAGAATATACTCTCACCGCGAGTCTGTGGTCCCTATCAAGAATTACAGGGAGATAATAATTTGGCCCCACAAAAGGGATTTGGGTCTATTTGCCCCTAGATTAATGTATTCCACAATTCCCCTTAATGCTATGCGAACACATGATTGGAATAACCTCTACGATGCCTGTACCTGACTAATCCCATCTCTGGGAAGAAATTAATTCCAGACACAGCTAGGAAATGGAAGGACCGCGCCACGTCCTGCAACGTGGGAATTCAAGACTGTGTCTCCCCCAAATTTCTTCTGGACTCACTAGCAGCCCATCTTCCTTCCCCTCGGGCCCCAACGCGAGATCTGACAGTCCTGTGCGACCTTTCAGACCCCTGAGCCCACGAGGCCCCTAAATCGAGGCCTCGGCCACGGAAGGAATCATCACGATCGTCACCAAATCCTGCGGGCTTGGGGCTCGTCCTTCGCCGTCACAGAAGCGGCTGCCGACCCACCACCCAGCAAGCTTACCAGATAACAGCCATCGCGGCCTTCGAGCTTCTTCTTAAAATACGTCTCCATCACGCTGAGAAGTGTTTTCGGAATGAAACCCGGGCTGAGACTGTCACAAAAGACACATCCGTGACAACAGGGATGACTTCCGACCCTGCCAGCGGCGCGGGTGATGACGTCACATCACTTCCGGTGGCCCTTCCCACACGTGCTGGGTTTATGGTTTTGCACCTTGAGCCCACCACAAAAGGGCATAAATTAAGAAAAACGGAGCAAAAGACCCGGAGGAGCTTTCTTCTATAGTTTACATGTCCCCAAAACGCCAGCGGCTCCACCCGGCCCCCATCGTCGACGTCTCGCGAGCCC